CTCGAGAAAGAGCTAGAGAATAGGATAATGCAAACTGCAAAAAGTGGCTGGAAAAGAGGAATTCATGACATGGCTGCAGCCTGTTGAGAGTAAAGATGATTTCACCATGTTCTCTATCTATCCATATATATATATATATATATATATATATATATATATATATATATATATATATATATATATATATATATATATATATATATATATATATATATATATATATATATATATATATGTATAAACTTGAGTCATGGAACTGTGCTTACAGCTCCTTATTTCATGTAAACTAATAATTTGTGTACATGATACTTGTTGATGGCATTAAAATTATTTCTAATAGCATTAAAAGAGCATTAAATTAGAGTTCCTCATTCCTGTATAAAACCTGTGAACGCTTAATTTAATCTGACATATTAAAAAAATCCCCATCATCATCCAGCAGATGTTCAGTTTCTGCCCAAATATTTTCTTTCTGTTGTGGATTTTTGTAACAGGGATAACTAGGATCATACATAGTTTGTATGAACTCTGTTTGTTCTCTGCTTCCAAACTCATCGTCTCTTCATCCATTCCTGCAATAAGAATTTTCTTTTAAAGTTGTGAGATGCGCTCTAGAATCTCACAACTTCTTCCTGGTCTGTTGAAGCACCAATAGTCTGCATCAACTTATTTAATTAATTGCTCTTAGTTTTTGGGAATATATACGAACTATGCTCTAATTTCTAGATACCGATCTGTTTTTACTATAATTTAATTTGACAAACCGGGTCTTCTCTACATTCTTTTTTCTGTTTGGTGTGATTGCAATAGCAGGTCTTGATCTGGACGGACCGGAGGGGAGCAAAAAATAGCTCAGCTCCGTATTTTGACGGTGAAGGACGGAGAAGATATACGTGGGCGGTGACGAGCGGAGGATGTGGAACAGCTCTCATTGATTTACATGACAGACAAGTACTCTGCACGACGTACGTGAGCGGGGCGGAGCGCTGACGGAGTATGTGGAATCTGGGGGTAAAGGAGGACAAATACACGTCGGCTGGGTGCAGCGCCGGACGCCGGACAGTGCAATGAAAATCCGGACTCTCCGCCCTAAAGCCGGACATCTGGCCACCCTAGCGTGAATCCAGGAACATACCAGACTGTGCATGAGTTTAATTAAGGAATTAGATTATATCGTTGGTGATTTTGCGTTACATACTGTAGGCCCATTTTTAAACAGTATGTGGTTTGAAATGTGTTTTAAGTTGATTTCTGGGAAGCACTAGGGACAAAATAATGTTTATGTTTAAAGTTATTTGATATATAAAGTACTAGCTGTATGCCGGGTTTGGTACCAAAAAACAGAACAATAGCATTGGATCTATAATCCACTCTTCAGGGTTAAAAAAATTATGTTAGATAATGTGCTTAAAAGATATGTAACATGCTTTGGATGACTCAATCATGTATCATCTCTCTACTAGGGGTCATTTGAGTTTTCATTTTATGCTTTCATCCCTGTATTTCAAAAAGTACGAGGGGAAAAATAAACCCTTATTGCATATAATAATGGCGCATGTGCTTTACATTGTCTTTGGTTGCTCATTTATCATGTTTACATTGGGAAGAGACCTTGCAGACATCTGCTGTATGTTACTGTGTTTGCAAAAACATTTCTGCTCATACAGACATGCGCAGCTTTGTGTGAGCGTGTGTGTCTGTCAGCCTTATGTCACATTAGGACAGCCAAGTCAGATTGTGCGTGGGCTGTGGTGTGGAGTGTGTGTCACACAGTGTTCCCATCTAGGCACATTAGAGCCAAACCTCTGATTATGCAGCAAATAGAGCCACATCAAAGAAAATGAATGGTCACATGGTGAATTTAAAAACACCATGAAAACAACACAAAATCTGCATTATTTTCCAGTTCTAAACTGAAATAGGAGACTATAATTTTCTTGCTTAGACCTGGTTTGGTTTAAGCAGATTTATTATTTCACTTAAACATTAATTTATTAAGCTCACTCTTAGATCAATTTATATACATTACATAATGTAACTGATCAAACATATTCACAATTTTTAATATCATAATCCTAAACTTTAATTCCTTTGAGTAGATATTTAATGCACTATACCAATGCATTATTGTAAATTGGAAGACAAAAAAAAAAAAAAAAAAAAAAAATGGTGTACATATGTATTCAGACCTTCTAAAATGTAGTTTAATTACCTTTAGCACAACAAAATATAAATTTCCTGTGCTGTTTCCCCAGCATTTTTTTGTTTTTATCTTTATCTCTCTTCCTATTAATGTTAACTATCCCCACAGCATGATGATGCAACCACCAGGTCTAACAAAAACAATATGCTTATTAAACTGAAGTGTTATTTTTCTTTAGCAAAGAAATTTTTATCATGATAAGTAAAACTTTTTTTCCCCCATATTTACTCTTCTGACAAACTTTCCTAATGACTTTTTTTCCAAAAATGTCTCTCTTTGCATAACTAGCAGTTTTGTGGAATAGACACTGATTTTTATCCTATCAACCAAAGTTGTGGATCTTTGCATCTCTTCTTCTTGTGTATGCTGGTTAAGATTCTAAGTCATCCAGGTCATAGTCATTCCAAAAAAAAATTAAAAACAATCCACTGGACTTTGTTTCCAAGTTAGAAGACCTTTTGTTTGCCATCCAGGAAACTTTTTCAATTCAAAATGTCAGGAATAGCGTTGAGTTTGAGGTTTTATACAGAAGCCGCAACAAAGCCATGTTTTTTTTTTAACATGCAAATTGAAATGGATTTCTAATACTCACGCATTATTCTAAGGGTGTCTTACCCAAAATGGAGTACAATATGCTGGTAAAAACCGTTTCAATTAGCATGTTTTCACAACAAAAACAAGGTTTTTCTGACATTTTGCAATGAAAAAGCTTCCTGCATGGCAAGTAAAACGTATTCTTCTTGTGTGCTATTAATGCTTATGTAATAGTAAACCTGAAGTTCTGTCTCTTTCCATTTTTCAATAATGGAAATCTTCAAACAATAAGTTGTTTTTTTTATTTTGTTATTTTCATTTTACAACATTATGCTTTAGTACGGAGCCCCTCTGATGACATGGTCAAAAAAAATTTTTAATTGTGTCCACGAAGTAGTATTTCATGGCCACGCAATAAATATAACGTGCGCACGCAATACTACTTCGTGGCCACGCAATAAGTTTAACGTGCGCACGAAATATTTATTAATAATATTAATATCATTCCTGGACAACTGGGTAAGCAAATCGAGCGCGCCTTCTCTAAGGTCTAAGGCGCGCTCAATTTGCTTACCCAGTCGGTCTCCGCCAGTCACGTGACATTTGTTGCTAAGACGCTATTTTAGGTGGAAAAGGCGTAGTGTAAACAACCGCAGCATAGCTAAACGAAGGACTAAAGGCCCGTTTACATAGCAGCCTGTCCAAGATAAGTCATTACAGTTAACATAAGCCTGAAAACAGGGGCGGATTTATTGATATTATTAATAAGTATTTCGTGCGCACGTTAAACCTATTGCGTGGCCACGAAATACTACTTCGTGGCCACAATTAAACATTTTTTTTGACCATGTCATCAGAGGGGCTCCGTACTATAGTCCTACAACCAACAATTTAACCTAGAGTCTCTGCTGTGTTCCTTGGTCTTTACAAAGCTGTTTGTTCACTAATGTTTCCAAGCAGTCATTAATTATGTGAACAAAGGAAGGCAAAATAAATTAATTTAAGTGCTTTGAAATAAACTGTTATTTATGAATGCAGATCACACTTGTTTAAAAAATCACATTTTATTTGTAAAATGTCTCTAAATAATGTTGATCATTTCCACTTCACTGGTTAACATCCGGCGAGTGGACATGGAGATTATGGACCACACATTTTTTGCATTCAAAATGTATTTTTTCCCTTACTGAACATCGTTTTTATTTTTTACACTATTTTCACTTTTTTTATTTTTATTTTTTTTATTTTATAAACTATTGTATTCTATTTTGCTTGGCAGTTGTGTTATTTCAGGCTCCAAGTGGTTACAGAGTTTTTATATGCAGCTCATACATGAACCTTTAAGGTGTCATATTTCAGAGGATCAGCCATGTTTTGTATTTTAAGAATAAATTAAAAGCTTGATGGAGATTTATATGCAGAAATCTCCTAAGGCCTAAAAGGGGCCCAATCTGGATCATTTTTAATGTTTTCTAAAAATAGTTTTTGTGAAAATGTTGTAGGAGTATTATAGGTCCTAAAATTTCATAAATTGATTATGCTACTTCCAACCATATGGTGTATAGTGGCCTGAATCAATTATTTAATCTGTCCAAAACCCAAAAATCAGAAGGAATTGTTTAGGAATGTAGTGTCCTACAATATGGCAATTGCCATACTGCTACACTTGTGAAAGTAAAATCTGTTGGGGTCTTTTTGGCATCAAGACAATTATTCTTATTGCCACGTTGCCACACAGGACACTGTAAAAAAAAAAAAAAAAAGGAATGTAGTCTGTTTCATTTAAGCAAAAAAACAAAAAAAAAGAGAAAAAAAAAACAAAAAAACAAAACGAAGACAAACAGATATTGGATCCCATAATAGACTTCAAACAAATCTGATCAATAAATCTGATGTAAAGTTTGGAAAATATTTGGTGGCATTACTGAAACCAGTCAAAAAGAAAATCAGCTACGATTTAGATCTATTTAATTCATTAATCACCATCTTTAAGTTAACTAATCATTTTTTAAAACCATTTACCTTAAAGGGGTCAGATAAAATAAATGTCTGCATAAGAGCGATACTTTAACTCATCTTAAACAGATTAGGACAAATTCTAAGACTTCAAATTCATGTTAATACTTATCGCAGGATTCAGAAACTCATTTGCACATGTTAAGAGGTTCCATGATCTAAATGGTTAAAGATATTTTCAAGATACAAATGTGTTTAAAAGGTCAGATTATGGTGTACCGTTTGAGGTGAAACACACAACACAAAATATATTCATGCTTCGCTTTTAATCACCTGATAAAAAAGTATTTCAGATTTCATTTTAAACACAATATACAATATCATACCATACATTGTGTGAAACATTTATTAAGCCACCTCCAACAACTGGTGGATTTAAACAGATTGACAATAAAAAATAAAGCAACCCATCTTTCATGCAGATAGTGCTGAATCTGGCTAACCATTTGGACACAACTAGGACCTAAAAAAGCTTGAACATAGATAACATTAATACTGACAAATCCGTCTGTCAAAACTGCTAACGAGTTTGGTCAGAAGAGTTCACACATTAGCACAGTTATGCAAGATTGGGATTTGTTAACTCAGAACAACTAGCATTAGTGCTGGGCATATTATAGCATGCTACTGATGATGTCCCCTACTTTAGATGAAGTGCATTGGGGGTAAAAGGAGACATTCACTTTGTGTTTGTCTGTCAAATTCTGTCTGGCTTATGTGGACTGTCAATTCTGACAGAATTGAGCTATTTGTGTACTTTGAAACGTAGCAATACTTAGCTTCAATATCTCTTAGCTAAATTGAATGTAACCTATCAGCTTTATTAGCCTATACAGTTTAAATGTCCTCCATGTGGCCTTTTGGTTACCAAACTGCTGATGTCACATAAAAGCCTTGTAACCCAAGATGATTAACTGGAAAAAAGGATTACATTTGAAAAAAAGGTCCCTATTAAATTTATTGTCATATTTATTAATATTACAAACATTTTTGGTTTATGCTTGTGCATCAGTAAGTTGTAATTTTAATGTGAAAAAAAACAAAGCAGCATAAAAAAAAAACAAAAAAACTCGTAGTTACAAGGTTTTCATATGACTCAACATGCCTCTTTAGCTGCTGCTCTGCTGGGCACTCAAAATATTGTGCGAATATATACTTATATATAATTATATATATATATTTATGTAAAAACAATCTACATTTATATAAAAAAAGACTATTCCAGAGTCTTCTACACATTAGACACCACCACTTCCAGGTAATGCAAGTGCATATAAATTAAAATAGATTTTACACTAAACCAGTATTTGTTATTTACAAGCTAAAAGTAGAGAATAAATACACACTGTTATAAACAGCAAAAAGGACCAACTTGAGCTCATAGCGACAAAAGATGGAGACAAATTTAAGGTTATTTAAGGATGGTAAGGCCTGATCCAAACACACACAGACGATGGGACTCCAATATAAAACACACATACTGCACACATGATTGCCACTAAAGCATGCTTTGGGGAAATTTAACTAAGTACCTTTGAGCATTAGTAAACCTATATGAAAGTGAGCGGATTTATGCAGCTAGGGTATCCATTATGATCAGATGTAGGAGGGTCTGCAAACCATTTTAAAGCTTTTAGGAGCATTTCTAGTTCCTTTACAGGTTCTGTGCTTTACTGCGTCCTGCTGGATTCAGCTGATGTTGGTTAGCAGATTCTTATTTTTGGGGTTGTTGTGTCAGAGCCCAGAGGGATGTGTAAACCATGTGAATTCTCTCCATCAGTGTGTTTCAAAGGCTGCAGTAATTGCACCTTTAATCATCAGTTCTGGTCCTGATTGTGGGAAATGCAGCGGCGTGTTACATCAGACAGATCTGGGTTCTGAACCTCGTCCGGCTAACAGGATTATTAGGACTGGAGCATACCTGGGAGCTAAAAATAGACTCGCCACTGTTGTGCATTTCGTCTTTGGCAGACTTAATTTCCCGTTTTATACTTGATCCAAGCTGCAGGATGTCAAGAACCAATAGTGTCATGTTATTAAACACTTTACCGGATCAAATTATTTGCCTAAACTACATGGATGTTGAGAAAATAGCCCCAAATGTTATTTGGGTGAAAAAGCAGAAAAGCTCAATGGTTTGCAGGTCACCCCCCCCCCCAAAAAAAAGTGGAGGATAGAAAAATATGTGTTTAGGTGCAAATAGAGACATTCATGGACTGATCCAAAATGCATCATGAACTTGAACTAAACTCATGGGGATTCCATCTGTACTCTGATGGAAAACAAATTGTGTAATGATGGTATACATTTTCTCATTTCATGTAGACGAGTCCAAGACATTTGCTTGGATTTCACTATTGCCCAATACGTGGAAGACTTTGCTCTTTAACACACAAAAAAAGCTTCTTTTTTTACTTTTTTCATAAAGGAAATAAAAGTATTTCACAAATACTAGTGTGTTTAATAAATAAAAAACTATTATAAAGACAGTTGTAAAAAAGGCACACAAAAAGTCCTTAGACAAATGGTACAGAAATAAGTAAACACTTTCTCTTTCTATACAAATGTGTCTCCATCAGTAGATCTTACTCTATGCTACTTCAAGATCTTATATCTGTAAAAAAAAGACAAAAAAAACAAAACATTTTAAGGTACAAAACTTCTCTCAGTAGTGTCATTGTCCATGTAATGCAAGTCCAGAAAAGAAAAGGAGCCATTTTTCAAACTGGCTGAAATCCTTCAAGTTCCACTTTCGTCCATCGAGACTAAAATGTTCGCAGCAAGTAATTCCTGAGAACTCTGAAGCCACCTCTGTGAAACTGTCCATCTGTGTCTGGCTTCAAACACCCAAGTGCAATTTGCCCCTCAGCGGGCCAAAACTAAGCCCTCGCTTCTGCGGGCTTCTTAAAAAGCAACAGCTCCAAGAGGGTAACCACCTCTTTTCTAAAAACTTTCAAATCACCATCACAGCATGTTGCTGGAAGCCCTATGTGTCTGTAGGTGAGGCTTCGTGCGTCACGATCTCTATCGCCGTCATAGGCTCAATCGTGATGTCTTCTTCTTCTTCAGCCTGACTGTCCAAACAGTCCGTAGGAGGGGAACGGGAGTTCGGGAGACTATCCTCCAACTCTATTTCTTCATCTTCTCCTTCCTCATCCTCCCCGTCACCGTCTTTTTCCATCCCGTCTAAGTCTTCCTCCTCCAACGTCAAGTCAAATTGAAATTTCTCCCCTCCTCCTTGTCCTCCTCCGCTGTGTCCATGCGTACCCTGGTCATAAAAGGGTGGGGAGGGACTTTGGGGAATCATGCTCTGGTACCAGTTTCTGTTGTCTTCTAATGTGTCCAGAATGTCCTGAGCATCGGGGTGAACCAAGTCCGCCCAGGTCTCCCACAGGGGGTGAACGATGTAGTCAATAAAACCCACCTTGGAGAGAAAACAAAATGAGGGTTAGAGGATTTATGAGTTTTTTTGTTTTTGGTATGTAAGATGCCTTTTTTGCTAACATACCTGACTCTTTTCCACAGATGCTGTGTGCTTATCACACATGGGGCTGATCTCCATCCCCCGCTCCCTCTCTCTGTCCCCCTGGTGGAAAAACTCCTCCATAATGCGGTCAGTCCACTGACGATACAGCTCCAAAGACTTTGTGGGGTTGCTCAGATCGGCACAGTGCACCATGTTACGCAGCACCTGCAAACAGAAATGTCGACCTTGCTTATAAGCTCTCTATAATCTAGAGATCTGTGTTTTTCCTCTTTAACTGTGAATCTAACACGTACCTGTATCCTGTCTGTGTAATTGTCTAGCAGCAGCACTCCGGAGCTGGTCACCTTCTTGGTTTCAACCATAGTCTTCAGGTCGGCCAACAGACTCATGTGTTTGGACATGTCAGTAGCCAAAACCTGATAAAGACAAAATAAAGAAACCATTTTTAGTCTGGCATTAAGGGTCAACTGTCAAAGTTTGATTGGTTAAAAATAATTTCAGTGACATCCTCGAGGGGCGGAACTAGCTAGAATCATGGAACACAACGCGCTGTCCCTCCCCCACATGTTGCTGTCCGATAGTATTTAGCAATTTCCCCTTACAAATGATAAATCTGGCTAAATGGGAATATTTATAGCTAGCCTGGGCAGCCACAGTAATGAATGTCATGTAGACGGCTTATTAGTCGATAAAGGAGCAGGTGGAGGTAGAGTCAGCAGATTACTAATAATGTGACGCAGCTTACAGCAGCTTTTAGAGAATAATAAAGGGCATCAATAACACATCGCTCCATTGCAGCTAAAATTGTGACTATTGTTCTTACAAAAAAGCCAATTTACAGCAGCAAAATATGCATACATTATAAAAAAATTATCTATATTATATATTTTTGTTGCAATGGTAGCAAATTATACAACACCTTTTTGTTTAAGTGGCTGTGTTAATACCAGAATGCTGTAAATATCCTACCCGTACCAGCAGTGAAATGAAAATATCTTACCATGTCAATAACCATCTTGCGGTGGGACTGTCTCTCCTTCTTTTTGAGGTTCTGGAAGATGTCACAGTTGTCTTCCTGTAGCAGCTTGAAGCCCACAGCTAAATGATGGTTCTCCAGCACAGACTCGTCGTTGTACATCAGCGCCAGCTCAGAATCTGCATAACAAAGCACACAAAGTTGTGTAAATATCCAGAATCAGATAATAATAAATAAAAAAAACTGAATATTAAAATTTGCACATTGTTTCAAACTTACTGGTATTGATTAGAAATTGGTTTGATACTCCAGGATGATCAACATCATGGATTGCAGCAGCAAAGATGGCCGCTAGGATCTCAAGATCTGTGAAGACCGCCTGGTGAAGACACAGGAAAACTAAGTTTAACTTTTCCTTATAGCAGCTCAATCTGCTAGAGGTAAAAGCCCACATCTAACTATAGGTTTGTCAGACATTGCCACATCTTTGATTTATTCCCTATACAAAAACATGAACAGAAACATAACAGAAAGTCTAGGAAGCGAATCAGAAACCAAGACACACTGCTTTAAAGAACTGTGCAAGCTGCATTTAAAACTGAATTAAGGTCTACTTTAAGGAAGACTTACATCCAGGGCGGGTGTGGAGAGAAGGATGTGCGTTGACTGAGCTACGTCAGCAGCATGAAGACTGTTATGGTAAGCCACATCTGCATGGTAATGATCCTCCAGTGTCATCATGTATGCCACGAAAGTATCAGCCGGAATCTTGAAAGTCTTTAACAAATCACGCTCCTGGAGAAACAACCAATCAGGGACAAATTAAGTTAGATAAAGATGACCTAAACAGCCATTAGCTTCTCTTTTGATGTGTTTTTTCCTGTATATAAAGTAGATAAAGTAAGGCATCTCTTACCTGGAATATAGCATACATGATGCAGGTCAGAGGTCGGTGGTTGGAGTATTCGGACACGGTGAAAATGTTTAGACCCCATTTGTTCAGGTCCTCCAGCTCCTTCGACAGCTGCTCCTCTTTATCCGTCTTGACGCCGAAGCGCGATATGCTGCTGTTGGACAGCGACGATCCGTGGGAAACCTTCTTGACTCCGCTGATCTGTGTCATCAGCTGCTGTTTCTGCTGCTTCTTTTTTTCTCGCATCTTGGATGTCGGCGACGGGATCTCCACCTCATTCTGCTTGTCTGTGTGAGGAAACAAAGAATAATGTAGATTTGTGTTATTTTCAGACTTGATCTGTTGTGTGACATTGCAGCTGGTGTACATAGAGCTGCTCAGGAAAAATATAGATCCAGGTGTGCAGGAGACACCTGCAGCAACCTAGTTGGCTTGTTCATTCATCAGGTCTTTCTGTTCTTTCTTCATTCATGCCCCCTTTGGTCCACCTGCAGTTTGTCTCACTCCACCCAGCGTTCAGCGCAGCTAAAGTAGAATCTAAGCATGCTGCTGTAGCTGCCCTGCTTTCTTTTTCTTGATCAGTTTATTCAGCTGCATTTTGGGTAAAAATAACTCTTAAAAGCATCAAATGGTGGATTTTTATTCTTTTTAAGGAATCATAACCTGGTTTTTCCACTTATGCAATACTCCAGAAATTGTCTTTAAATTAATTTTAAATTATTTTAAGAAGAAAAAAATTAATACTCTATAATAATAGTGTCTTTTCTTGCAAAGGAGATTTGAAAATTGTGTGTATGAACGTTTATTTGGTTGTAGTCTTATCAACAACAGGAGTTAGCCCTGGTTCCTATGTTCCTATCTTATGTCATACTTACGTTGCACAGGTAGCAACTCTTACTGACTGCCTGCAAACCAGTCTCTGACTGGTGGAATAGAGATGGGCATGGTGATAGCAAGGCAGGCTAATGTTAGCAACCCAGATTGATGTCAATACAGGAGGAGGACCAAATCCCCATGTGTGAAGAGAGACTTTCTAATTTGAGTTTATATTTAAATAAAAAAAAAAGTAAGCCAGTTTCTCACTTTGGATTTTCTGGCAGGTTTTAATTGCAGCTTAACACCAACCCACATGTTTTAACACGAACAAGTCAGATGACTCCTTTAAATGCTTTCTAACACCAGATTCTAAACACTGGGAATAAACATGGCAGTCCGATTGATGGAAGCCCTGCTATGACTCGCCCTTATCTGTCAAACCTCGGCTCGGCTCATCGCTGGCCTTCCCCTGTGGAGGGTTATTCAATTACCAGCTGTAATTTAAATAAGCACTCTCTGCTTCATCAACTGCTGTCACTGTCTGTGTCTTTCCACTTTTTTCTTCACTGGTAATTTTGAATTAAATGCTCTCTGATGTGCTGTGTTGGAAAATGAGGAATAGAGAGTTACTCTGATTTATTGCAACTCCCAATCATCACTTATGCTGCCTCGCCATATGCATTACTTGTAAAGCAATTTATGGAATAAAGTATGTTCTCCAAACAATTATCTAAATCTTATCACTCATTCAAACTGGTGCATCAAAGTACATGTAGTTAATAGATGTGTTTAAAGAGTAAAAATGATGTTGGTTTATTAGTTTTGTTGAAATGACCTATTTATTTAAAATTTATTCTATCAAAAATAAATCATCCTCTATCTTCCCTTTGGGTGAAGGAATTGTTTTTCTGGTTTCCTCATCAAGGCGTGTTCTGTTGGCGGCCAATCAAAGGGAATTAGTCCAGAGTGTGGAGCAGGATTAGGAGGAGCAGTTAAATAGTCTCCATTTTGGCACCAGCAGTTTTTCATTGAAGGCTGGAAATGAATTAATTAAATTCTAAGATGTTCATGATCCAAATTATATATCTCTATATATAGATATATTTTTTTTTAAAGCAAACCATATTGGGGAAAAAAAACTGAAAAAAATTTGCTTTGAATCTTTAAAGGACTTAGGCTAAGCAGATCATACTGGATAAAAATATAATTTTCCTGTTTCTGAATTGATGCTTTTCAAAAGATAACAAAAAATAAACATCAGTGAACTGCTGATAATGTTGATGGATGGAGGGATTAAAAGGTCCTACTGGTCAGCTGAGGACACATCAGGCCAGCTGTGCCGCTTAACATCTTAATGTAAGCCTAACCCTGCTGTTTTTTTCTCCCCTCAGTGTAGAAGACTTTCCTTTTGATCCACATGGTCACCATGTTGGTTCTAGGCAGTGAGAAGCGGTGGGAGAGGTACAGGGACAACAAGGTGTCCCCACTGACAAAGATGCTTCAGGAATCTGAATGAGTCACCCAATCTGCTGAGCTTATCTCTCTGCCAGCGAAGGGGGTTCCTCTGTAGATTTCTGTCTGCTCTCAGCTCCCTCCCTCACCTGTTTGTCTAGAATCCTCTATTTTCCTCACGTTACAGCAGATTTTAATGATGTTTTTGAACCTAATATCTCACTCTAGCTTTTGGATTTATGACATTAAACAAAAATAAGGATTAATATTGTCCTGCATTGTTTAATTAAATTCCACTTTCAAAAGCCCAAAACACTTTGTTTTGTATATATATATATATATATTTTTTTCCGACTATCTTGAGGGATATACAATGTTCATTTCATTTTGAAAGCCATTTTAATGGGTTCTCCAAACATTGGAGGGAAGCTTGATGGCGCAGTGTTTTTTACTGGTACGCCCCCACAGTGAAGCCAGTTAGAACAACTAGCGCATCTCAACATGTAGGAAACAAAATGAAGTCCGCACAAAATAAAAGCTTCAATCTTGCTTTATAGTGAACCACAGTTTATTCGTAGGTCTTTTATATTCAAACACACCAGAGTTAGTGTATTATGTATTTACTAAAAACTATTAGTGTGACTTTTGAATACACATGATTTTTTATTTTTTTTTATTTTATGTCTTTACCTAGGAAGGTGTTGGAGATGAATTCGGAAACCTGATTCCCGGACCGACTCATCTCGGATAGGTGCGTCAGCTCCCGATTCAACATTCTCTTAAACTGCAGGAGAGAAGGGGGAGAGGAGGAGGGAGGTAGAGAGAGAGGAATATGTCGTCATTTTTCCAAATGGGGGGAAACCTGGCAAAAAAAACTGCATTACAAGATATCTTAACAATCTAATAACCCCGAGTCTAATTTAATCAGGTCAAGAATGTCTTTCAGTTACAACCAGCAATCAGTGGAGGAAACGGTGCATTTCCCTCCATTTCCCCAGGAATTAATCATGATGGAACCATTATTTAAGCGACCAGCGGGGGGCCCTGACAGCTTTTAATACTGCTTTAAATTCTCCATGGGGAACCAATTTCAAGTTTTATTAAACACATTCACATTTTCTGGAGCCTCTCTGGCCAGTGGACTGCGTCAGTGTGCAGGAATTTTAATACATGCAAGAGGAAAATGTGCGCATTTCTTCCTGATATTCTCTCCTAGATGCTGAGAACCATTCCAGACGGGGACAATGTTTGCGTGAATAAATGTAGCTGATGCTAAATGGACACCCAGGCACTGCAGCAGCAGATGTTTGTGACAGGCTGATGCATGCGTGTGCATACAACTACAGACACAGATCTGCAGAGGGCTCAAGATGGAGCCTGAGCCTCAAAACACCCCATCTCCCCTAAAGACGAGGATATTTTCAGCTCTAACATCAAACACTTCAAATTAAATTCCATAAATGCTCCTGATGAGATCAATCTTTAGAAGAAAGATTAAATATGACAACCAGGCAGCAAAAAGAGCTACAATAAACTGAGAGCGGTATCCCAGCGAGATACGTAGTTAAACGCCACACACCTTGATGTAACCCCAAGACACCGACAGCAGGTAGTTGGCTTCAGGCATTTTGGACCGCGTTGTTTCGTTCCTACACAAAGCCAGAACTGTAATCCAATGGGGGGGAAAAAAAGTACTGAAGACTAATTGGATTTTTTCGTCACCAAAAAAACCTTAAAATTCCCCTCTCTGCTCCTTTTGTTCTTCCTCTTTATGATGGCTTATTCTCCCGCTGAGCAGAACAGGGCCAGCTCCGAGCCTCCATGTTTGCAGATGGATGAAACTTCTTTATCTTCAGTCAGATATCTCGAAAATCAGCAAGAAAATCCAGCCGTATTGACAGCAGCGGGAGCTGGAGCCGTGAGTTGCGGACTCTCGGCGCACCGATGAATAATGGAGAGGAAGGGAGGAAGGGAGGTGGGAAAAAACAGAGAGATGGAGACGAGAGGAGGAGGGAGAGAGGCTCTGATGTTCATCTGACTGGAGGGGGGGTTCCTCCGCTGGATTTGTCTCGCCTCACTGCTCTCGCTGTACCTTCCTCTCCCCCTCCTTACCCTGCTTCTCTATCTTTCTCTCCATGTTTTACCCCTATTCCATTTTTTTTCCTCCTCCCGCTCTATCCTGCCAGCCATAGCAACACTCTTTTCAGAGCAGATGATTTGACAGAAATAGGGGGAAGAGGGGGAGCCCTAATTACAGCTCAGATGAAGTTTTCAAAGAGGCTATCGTTTGGATACAAGTTCCAATTTTCTTCCCTAAAATAATTAACATCCTTTTGGTTTTCAGTCCCTTTAATCCTCCTCATTTAAGTCACTTATATCAAGTGACCTAGTGAAGGGGATCATAACAAAGAGGCAAAATAAACCATCCTCCTCTAGGATGAAATAAAGAGCCACTTTTCCAGGAATGTGAGCCTACATGAACTGTATCTTAATCGCCATTATCTCCCCTCTTCTTGAGTACTCTGCTGTCCCTTGACAACCAAGGGAAGCAGCCATTGTACGGACCTCATAAGCCTGTTCATTATCTGCATCCCATAATAATATTGGATGCCAACAGGGAGTCTGGGGGGGGCTATTTTTAACAAGCAGAGTGGGAAAGCTGGTTGGAGAAGGTGAGAAAAAAAAGGAACGAGAAAAAGAGGAGATGGCAGATAATTGCATTAGTTTAGGGGACAGCAGCCCACGGCTTCGTGTTTGGCTGTGAGAGGAGTGTGTGCGCCAATTATCACAGCAACCCGCCAGCATAGATACAGCTTTAAGGAGCAAGTTCAGTTTTTTTTTTGTGGTTTATTTAAAGGAGAAGAGAGGAGAGATGCAGAAGAGGCTTTCCCTTTTTCTTCTGACCTGTGGAGAAGCTGCTGAGCTGTCACGAGGACACACCACACGCATTGCATCCACTGATGCATCCGGTATTGCCCAGATCCCTTCCTCTGCCTCGATCCATTCCTGACTCTTTAGCACTTTTGTGTCAATTTCTTTCCGAGCGATCAATCTCCCTGCCCGCCTTGCTGACAGAATCAATGGACTGTCCACGGTGCAGGTGCTGCAATGAGCAAGGCTGGGGCCACCCGGCCAGAATCCGCTGTGAGATCAGTACCAGCGCTCAATTTCAAGGTGTGAATTTGCTCTTTGTCTATTTTTGTCAGAGGTATTGTGGGTGGGTCGGTGAAAAGGAAATATGGCTACTGTCACTTCAGAACAATTCCATTTAAAACTTTAAACAGGGGTTCCACATGAGCCTTTAGGTCCAATACTGTTTGCTCAAATGGAGCGAATAGGAGTGGGAGATCAAAGCTTTCCAGAGAGGATTCCAGATTATCCTCCCACTGAGGGAAAGAACCAGAAGTGAGGAGGTTGGTGCAACGAAAAGAAGAGGAAGAAGAAAAAAAAAAAAAAAATGGAGGCAGCCCTTTATATAATAGCTTTCTGCATAATGTATCAGTAAACCAGAAATAACAGCAGGGGGTGTCTCTCTGCAATGTGTCAGAGAACCGTGCTTTGCTGGAGGCTGCAAAAAACCCTTAGTATGCACTGATGCACAAAACCATCCTCAGTCACTGCTGATATAGAGCTTAACACAGATAATGCTAACAATTAACATCCAGGTTTTAAAGATGACGCCTTACAGAATAAAATGAGAAAGTTAAGTGGAAGCAAAAAGTGTGGTGCAATAAATACAGACTACCTTGAGGGTATTATAAAGGGAAGTCGATTTAAGCATCTTGGACGGATTCCATCACACAGATGGTATGAGCTTATATTAGGAAACTGCTAAGCAACCATGTTAAACGAACCTGAACCTGTATAATCACAATTATTTACTAAACTTATTACAAGCATGTTTCTTTAAGGAGGGAAAGTGTTTATTTCCAGTTTAAACTAAAGGAAGATGGATCTCTGAGCTCTTTGTGCTGCTTTCCTAGTTCCTGATGCATCCTGTTATGATTCCTTTGATTCCTCATGTCCTTTAATCCCACTTCCCCTGTTTTTTTCTCCCTGCCTAGAGTGGATGGGTTGAATCAGCAGAGAGCTGCTGTGACAGAGAGAGAGAGAGAAGGTGAATGGAGCCTGTGGCATTTTAGTTTGACTGGGGCGGGAGGGGGCACATAACGCTGAGCTCCTACATTTAGATGTGATTTCATCAGACAGCTCGCTGTGCGGGGTAGCCAGGCGGACAGGTAGGCCCGCACGGAATCCCCCGGCACCAGGCCCAGAGAATCCTCTCACTGCTTCCACTATAATAAGATATTAGGCATGGGAAGCTATGAGATGTGATGGTGAACCTCTGGGCATGCTGCCATTTTCTCTGTCATCTAAGGACTAATAACTGCATGAATGATATCAAAGGATATTTTAGCTCATTTAAAACAAAGCCGTAAGCAAAACCATATTTTTTTTTGTTTGTTAGTTAACTTTTCTATTCTCTTATTTGTATCTAAATTGTGCTCAGCACTCATTTCTGAAATCATGCACTTAATTCTGACATTTCTATTTCAAATAATACTAAAATACAAACAAATCAGGGCTAAGTTCTGTATTAAAGACTCCCTTCTAATAAAAAACAAAATTTTCCTGAGGCTGAAGTTGTGTCCAGAGCCACTAGTGGGTGCCCACACTGCACTCCGGCTGCAGAGGAACCTTACAGACAACTTTTACAATAAACCTTACATCAGATCAGAAAAGGAAAACAGTTTAGCGTAACTTTACTTGACCTAAATCAAATGTTTCCCTTACATTTCATTTACATTCCCAATTGTTTCCATTTTGAACACTGACACTTGCTTGTTTACAAGTTTTATTTCCCCTCTTCTTAGATAAATGACGCACGCTGGTAATACTGGCACCACAGCCACGACTCAAAGTGACATAATTCTGTAAAGATCAGGGGAAGAGTCTTACGTACGCATTGCGTGTAAAATCAGTAAAGGTGCAAACATCTCAAAGAAATACTACCTCTCACTTCCTCTGACTCACACCCTCATGTTATTGTGCCTTAAAGACTGCGTGTATTCATACATTCATTTCCTACCCCACATTATGTAGGAGCTTTAAAAAAAAAATCCCTTTATAAGAAAAGAAGACAAAAACAATGCAGTTACAGCTTTCAGTATCCAACTGGATACAAATTCTACTCAAGCTGAGATATCTCACATAGAAAACATCAAACTGATGACTTTTCCTAAAATTATTACAGAACAAAAACGAATCTTTGAGTAAGTAATGAGCACAGCAGAAAAATTCTCCAGCCGACTCTTTCCTCTAACCCGACATGACCTCAAGAGCAGTTTCAGCTCCCACTGCCTCACTGTTAGGGTCACCTAATCTGTGGATATTAAATATCAGAATATGCATCACTTTTAATCTACTTGAGTTTATCCAATACTTTTGTGCATTTTTTTCTGTTTGCTTCGAAAAAAAGAAACACCTCAAACAACAGAAACAAACACAATGCCTATTTTCTACTTCCTATGTCATTTTTTTCAACAAATTCTTAGTTCAATATTGTCATATTTAGGCTATTTGTGCCCCAACAAAAAGATGAAATCCACCTCAGCTGTGTTTTCTTTCAATAGTTGGCTTGTAATTTTTTTTTTTAAAAGCACTTTAAAGCACAGAGGAATTCCTGAATGCTGAGCATTGAAAAACAATATCTTTAAGTTTGAGAACAATGTTTAAATTTGATGGATAATATTTTGCAGGGTAACTGTAAAACGGTTGAAACCA